CACTTTGCGTTTATAGAAAGAGCTTGTTTTGGAGACACTACCCAACCCCTTTCAGATGACGTAATCATAAGGAGATAATTTATTCTAATGTTTTCACCTATTCATACACGATGCTAGGGGTTCAAACTAAATACTGAATGATCACACAAGTGTCAGCTCTCCAATATTTTGTAAACAGTGCCAGCTTAAATATCTGGACACAATGTTTTTAAAAGATTAGAATGGGGGCGTCCTTAAAATGACTCCCCGTCTAAATCTAAATCAAGCAATCCAAATATTTGAATGTTGATTATTACGTGAAGTCCTCCAGTACCATACTGAACATATTCTATATATTATCCGAGGGCATACCATTATCCAAAAGGTACGAAATGACATATCGTTTTTCATTTTCTGCAAAATTTTTACAAATATTATACCCCAATGTGTTGTGATGACTAATATCTCGTTTACCACGTTACCCACATAAGTGAAAGTTTGGATATGGCTTTGCTAATGATTCCTTCAAAATAAAATTGAAACTTTTCAAAAATTGGACATCGGGAATATAGTCAGGCTCACTACCTTTTGATAGCCCTCGTACAATGAGGCATTGCCCGTGTGTGCAACCAGCTCACACCAACAATAGCAGTTCGGAGGCGTGATAAGAAATTTAACATTCATGATATATAAAAATGTACTTTATAACCCAACATCATACCAGGTTCATAGAATGGATGAAAAAGTAGTTATAAAAACTAGTAAAATAGCGGTAAATGAGGTTTATAAAAGACATATTACAAGTAGGTTCGTCTTGGTGTACTGACTTTGTGTCAGTTGTCCTGATTGTAGCACATCGTGTCAATATACTGCATTATCAGCGCTATCGTCATGCCACCTACATTCTATCCAGACAACCAGAAATCAAACGCATATACGTGTACAGGTAAATAGAGATATATGAGTCGGGGCTTAATGTAGACCTGGGAATTCCACGTTGGTTCTACCTCTCCCCAATCAGTAATGGCCAATCAGCAGTTTATGCAAATCGTGTCCATTTCTCATTGGCGCACAGTACAAGATATTTTGGAACTTGACGTACCAACTATTGTTCATCGTGCACGACTTTCTTTATTACCTGTGACAACACATGCTTGTCTGAATGAGTGTGTTTCTATTTTGTCCGTTTCTAAGACTACAGTTTCAATTTCAGTTTCTACTGGCTGCCTTCATGTACACGACAATGCACATATAATGAAGACATATACATGTATAACCCGTGAATTACAAATGCTATTCTTACATGTAGTTAGTTACAATATGTATAAAGCAATAGGCAACATCTTGACAGAATCTTTCTTCTGATGCGAAATAGATTGTATTGTCAGTGACGTGGTTGTTAGCGTCATCGTCCCAGGACGGGGTGAGACGTTCTTCGTAATATCAAACCATTAGTAATGCACACAGAACGTGCCCATGCTCCCCTGACAGCTGAACAGCTTTCCCTTTGTGGAAATAAACATATACGTATTTCTTTACAGCTTTCAATAGACTCGCGGTTGTGCATCCATTTAATCTGTTTTCACAATAATAGGACTTTTTGACCGAGGACTTTTTTTCCTATAATCCCCCTCAATAGCCTTTTGCTACGCTTCGTTGAGTTTGGCAATTAGGTGGGTTTAATTCAGCCCCTGCATGTATATACATGTACTCAATATCAAGCGCATGTAGGTCAGGTAGGTATAGAAGAGTTAACAGGCTAAATATAGATTGGGGGATTTCCGATATTCTTTCTGCAAGTCTGCAATCGTACTGTTCCCATTATTCGTCTGGACAAGATATATCGGAACCTGACGTCCCATCTCTTGTCCTAGGTGACGAAGTCTTTGTTCCATGTCGCTATATAACGAGAAGGATTTTACTTACTTATCTGTTTCAGTTTCAGTATCACGTTAATACGATCACCTATATATGGGCGATGATTGTGATTATGTTTAAAGATGAATATAAACTTAGAGGTTAAACCAGTTCGTAAGCAAATAAATAGAACGTGGTAATATAGATGTAATCACTTAAATACTATTTCTTATGTTAATTAGGAAATCATTCTGGAGATTACTTAGAGTCCATTTTACGATTCCAACTGCATCATGTGTTTATAAAACGCTGCCTAATATCTCCTCACGCTGAAGGCACAACGTGAAATACATACACTGTGTTTGTGCGGATTCAGACACCATTGCACTAACTCTCATGTGACTGTATTGTTTGTGCCGGTTTTAGCAATATTCCAGCAACATCAAGTCGGGGGACACCAGAGATAGGTGTCGTACACACGTGGGGAATCGAACCCAGGTCTCCGGCGTGATGAGTGAACACTAGCTACCCCTTGTCCCACCTAACGCGATACTTTACTAGACAACATTCGCCTACCAGCTGCCGACCTCGGCTAGATGTCTGCAACATACTGACTCGATATCAGTTTAGTGGGGAGGAGAAGACATTTGTCACTTGATATTATTTTCACTCTCTGTACCCCGAGATGTTGCAGTCTTTCCTTCCCGGACACACATATACATATTTGATCACCAGTTACCCCGCCGGAAGCCAGAACTATATTTGTTTGCTTCTATGTCAATTCAGTTCAATTCTTTATTTTATATGAAAGGCCATAGGCCCATATACAAAAGAGATACATATTAACAATGACATTTATAATCAACTTTCTAACTAATGAAATGTTTCCTTGACAAAAATGCATTGTAACTAAATACTTTGTGGTTTTTTTAGGTCCTTTGCTGGAAAGTAAGGAAGACAATAGTTTAATGATATGAGATAAAGACAGTTGCGGTAGATACTTATTTCTTAGATTTTCATATACAGGTCAAATAAACATGAATGGAATTCATCTTCAGTAATGTAACAGAATGGACATTATCTTTGTTTGTTTTTTTCCATAGAAAGATATCTTCCACGGTTAATCAATAAATCATTAAGGTCTAACCTGAAACGTATAAAAGCATTGCGAACATTTCTGTAGCAAAGATAAGCAAGAAAAGACTCTGGCTCAAACAACGACTTGAATTGACGATATGAATCATATCTAGAACTTTCATGGATAGTTGAATGCCATTCCTGCTTAAACATATCAATAGCATGCATGCCAAACTGTCTAATAAACACATTTACAATGCCAACTGTCTGTGATAACCAAATAAAACCAAACCATATCTCAATAGTAAGGTGCGAATATGAGATATCCAATTATTCTTTCCAAGATAAACAATCTGTTTGATTGGCATTTTAGAAGTTGATTGATTATAAAAAGGTATAATACTTTATGGATAACAACTTCTTTATTTATTATGATGCGACGTTTCGGTATAGCTTCTTATACCGTTGTCAAGCAAGAGTTAAGTACAATATAGAACAAGTTTTATGGATAACAACTTTTTATTTCAGAGTGTGACGTTGATATTAGATTTTGTACCGTTGTCAAGCTTGACAACGGTACAAGAATCTGTATCACAACTTCTAAAATGCCACTCAAACAAGAGTAAAGTAATACAGCACAGAACCGACTTATATACATGTAACAGCATGTTAGATAAACAAGATCTAAAAGCATATTGAAGGCCTTTTTGAGGTAAACGAAGTTCAGGCATATAATTATTTTACACCAATATTTTAAACAACGAAAATAAGATGATATGTACAATGGAAACCTCCCACATTCACCATAACCCATAGCGTTTGGTGTTGACAAACAAACACATGGAAACTGTTTACAGGCAAGCAAATGATTTTTTCTTTGGTATAATTCACTTTAAAACCCCATATTTCAGATCCATACAGTAAAATCGGTTGTATTTGAGAATCAAATAATTTGAAGTAAATAGTCGTTGTAAAAGAGCTTTGCTCTCCTCTCGCCAGGTAAAGTACAGACGGATTCAGACCCAGCGTACAGGTAAACAAAATGCCAAGGTGTTTATAATCATTCACAAAATTCATACGTTTATGTTTAAAAACATTTCTCTAGCCGACAAAGGACCACCTCTACGGAATATACACACGCTTCCCCGAAATACCTGACTATAACAAGTACAGGCGCACCTCAAGACGTACTCGACTCTGCTCCAGTCACACCCATTGATCCAAGTAGTCAGCATTATGCTGTGCGCGTCCGTCTGCTACTAAATATAGATAGGGGAATTCCCACCACATCTAACATGAAAACCAATGCACTATAATCCATGCGCTTGAGAGCTTTTTTTGTTCTCATATATGCGCAGTATTTCAGGTTAATGGAGTTTCAAAGTACCTCATGAAAAATTCATTTCAATTTCGTAATAATTTCATGGCGTTTTATTTCATTAATGTCTCATTGCCATAGACTTGAAACATGATCATGAGCAGATGGGCTTTTCGAAAGACTGGGTCACGTGAAGTCTCGAGTTAGATTGACAGCTGATATTTTCATTTTTAAACCAGTTCAGATCTCATACCTCCCCTTTCATTTGCGTGTCTATTACTACACAAGTCCACGTTTTGGTGCCACAAAATACATACTGCAAAGGTTGAAGAATACCCCGGTAAAAATTGTCACTAAAACAAGACAGACAGACAGACATATAGGCAGCTGAGGCAGATCTCCAAACATGCAGTCGCCATGGCGGAAATGCAAGTGTAATGTCTACCTCAATATTGACTTATTTAAATTTTTATTTGAATGTTAAGGCTGTGGCGCCTGGTCCTGTGCATAGAGCTCGGGCCATAATCAGTAGAAGTTAAGCGGTGTTGTGTGCGGAGAGTACTTAGATGGGTGACCGGGTTTGGCAGCTTGCGAAATTGACTCCTGAGAGTGCCTAGGACTTCAGTCCTGCTCCACAACGATACATGTGGTCTCACCTTAGGCAAGTAAGTTTGTTCAAAATTGTCTCTGTTCACCCAGCAGTAAATGGGTACAGACTATTAACCTTCTAGCGCCTAACAGGCAGCTTGTGTTGTCCGGGGTAATAATAGTCAGATTGTGCGCTTTGAGTAGGATATACGGCCTGGAAAATGCGCGTTATAAATATTCTCATTATTATCATTAAGCGTACATAGATGTACAAACCACTAAACAGTGTTAAAGTTATCACTTCCACAAACACGTGAACTTTGGGTGCCTTTCAGTCATTCTACAAATATTGTGTCAGAGTGGCGACAACCAGAGGATCAGATATTGACGTAAAAGTCAGAAATATTGTCTTCTTGGATGTTCCAAGGTCTTCCAACGGGTATGTTACCAGCAAACCTGTATACGTCCCTACTGCCAAGAATTCACTCAACCAAACAAACTATTGTAGACATAGCAGGTCTTCGGTGAGTGAAGAACAGTGTATATATGTCACATATGTCGATCCGTTCAATAACTATTCGCTGTTTGTCGTCACTGCAGTAGTCATGTGTTCGGGACATGTGTCAGCTGGTCATTCTAAACACAGACCAGGTGTCATTCTTGGCGTGGATATATTTTAGTTCACATTTTCCATGACCATTTCGAAACGTTGGTTCTATATTTGAGCAAATGTATTGGTATAAAATATTTGAACTGTTGTCTAGACGTCAGTTCTGAGACTACTGCCAGGTTGACAACATCCTTACTACGTCTACGACTGTGACACCGACATCAGCACACCTACCTGGTGAGTGATGGTGGTCTATTGACCAGTTCTGTTTCTATGTACATTTGTGGTTTAAAGCCACACTCAGCAATAGTCCAAACATGACAAGCATGGTCGCTTGCATGAAGGTCGACTAATGCAGTTGGGATACCCCGACAAGCAAGTCAGCGAGCATACCCGTACACCCGTACATCTGGACATCCGTTCAGTTTGTATCCGTACACTGCCTCCTTTGTAAAGCATGTGTAGCTGAAGACCAGTTCTAACTGATTCTTCACGGGGGAATAGTTTTCGTCTAATTTGGAACCTCCCCTCTCGGTGTGGGGATGGTGTTTCTGGGTACGTAATATGTGAAACATGGTCCAAACTTGCCACGAAATCTTGGAATGTATGACGAAAGCCGGAATTCTGTTCACTATCTTTCTGGTATTATATTGAAGGAAAGTGTGTCTGGTGGGCTGCTGTACACAATTTGTTACTTTCTTTCAGAAAATGTCACTTCACGATCTCAACAAAAATTGGAAAACTGGGTAAAAAAACATGGCGGCTTTTCCGAAGATGACTTGAAAAAGGGTCTGGTTCGGTTTGAAATCGACACAAAAAAACTCCGAGTGATCACTACAGACAAACCACCTGACCCAAAAGATGAAGGAGGACAAAGACAAGAAAGAAGAATCTGACAAAGACAAGAAAGAAGAATCTGACAAAGACAAGAAAGAAGAATCTGACAAAGACAAGAAAGAAGAATCTGACAAAGACAAGAAAGAAGAATCTGACAAAGACAAGAAAGAAGAATCTGACAAAGACAAGAAAGAAGAATCTGACAAAGACAAGGAAGAAGTAGGTGGGGATGACATGGGCTCAGGAGTCGTGTTCAAATCGACGTACACCAACAAAACAGATGTCCCCCAGGAACACACGTTCATCATGAACAAGCAGACAGAAGCCACACTGACCAGCACCTTGACCAAAGGTTTTACCACTGATGGCATTGTTGGTATAAAGGTGAAGGTACCAGACGTCGTCTCCAACGCCACCAGCACCTTCGGCACGGACGTGTCCATCGCAGAAGACGACATGAGCATTGTGAAACACTTGCTGGATTGGTCCTCAAAAACCAAGGTAAACGTTGCACCGGGGGAGACGATAGTGACGGAGCTGAGGATCAGTGAAACCAAATGTAAAGTCCAGTTTAACTCGACGGTCGCCATGAAAGGCCGGGTGATTGCCCGCGTGTACAGGGCCGACAGACAGAATCCAAAGGTGATGCAGTCGCCGCTTGCTACCATCCTGTCTGACGACGAGACTGTATCACAGAGGTCTGATCTCTGTATCGACTTGGACACCGGGAAGGTGACCTGGGACATGTCAGGCTCTCTCCACTTCCGGTTCGGCGTGTCTCAGGACTGTGTGGTGTACGCCTTGGAAACAGATAATCCTCCAGTTACAAAATGACTGTTACTTTGTCGGCAGAAGCTTCTCGTGGCAACGGATGTAAACAAACTTGCCACCAGTGCGTCCAGTGTTAATAATCTGAAACAGAGAACGATCACACCTGCATAAGAGATATGCAGTTATACAAAATATATCTTGTACGTATGGCAACAAAACTTAAAAGAAGATACAAGTAACTTACTGTTCATAAAAAAGAATGACCAAGGCCAAGTGAATGTTAAAATACATACCTACATTTAGACATTTGTTTATGGAAAATAGACCTAGAGGTTTTGGCTCAGTATAGTCTGATCATGAACTCTCCCTGTGTAGTAGAAACACAAGAAATTGAATAATTACACTGAGTATTGTCTAATTGGCTAGTTTTCAAAAGAAAATGTGTTCATTATTTTTTCAGAAACATATAATAAACTGTTTTTGTCTGTACTTTTATATCCTACCTTGCAATAAAAATGTTGGTTGGTAATTTGTCTTTTTTGAAACGGTTTTGTACTTCTGTATATCGAACAGAGTTGTGGCCCTTGGAGTCATGATAAGCAGTTGGTCGTGAGTTCGAATCCCACCCTGTTATGTTATGTAGCTCGGTGTACAAATACTTAGCCAGCCTTCGTGTAAACCGAGCATAGTGGAAATGTAGACATCTGCAACACTGCGTTCCTCCTTCAAAAGGGACCCGTGAAGATCTGGGTTAGAATTGATCTTCAGTAACCCATGCTTGTCGTGAGAGGCGACCAACGAGATCGGGTGGTCATACTTGCTGACTTGGTTGACACATGTCATCGTATCCCATTTGCGTAGATCATGCTCATGCTGTTGATCACTGAACTGTCTGTCTAAGAAGCAGTTATTTACAGACATCCGCCATATAGCCTGGATATTGCTGAGTGCGACGTAAAACTAAACTCACTGACTCCTTCATAAGGCGACGTGTCATGATATAGAAAGTGTTAAACATGGCCAGTTTGGACCACATTCGTTTGACAAATTTGACATACGAGTACAGCTACAGCGTCACATCACATAACCATCCATCCACTCAGTGACAGTTGGGGCTGACGAAAATCCATTGTTTTTGTTATGAGATAGTTGTACACACACACTAAGTGCTGTCTGACAACACCGACTTTAGGAAAACAACGCAACTTAATTATAGCGAGGTTCATCTTATCCTAACTCGTACTTCGTTACAGTGAGGTTGATCTTATCCTAACTCGTACTTCATTACAGTGAGGTTTATCTTATCCTAACTCGTACTTCGTTATAATGAGGTTTATCATATCCTAACTCATACTTCGCTATAGTGAGGTTGATCTTATCCAAACTCATACTTCGTTACAGTGAGGTTGTTCTTATCCTAACTTATGCTTCATTATAGTGAGGTTTTTCTTATCCTAACTTATACTTCGTTATAGCGAGGTTGATCTCATCCTAACTCGCACTTAATTATAGCGAGGTTTATCTTATCCTAACTCGTACTTCATTATAGTGAGGTTTATCTTTTCCTAACTAATACTTCATTATGGCAGGTTTATCCTATCCTAACTCATACTTTGTTACAGTGAGGTTGATCTTATCCTAACTCGTACTTCATTATAGCGAGGTTGATCGTATCCAAACTCGTACTTCGTTACAGTGAAGTTGATCTTATCCTAGCTTATGCTTCGTTATAGTGAGGTTTATCTTATCCTAACTCATACGTATTTTTCAATAAGCGAGAGTTTTACTTCATCTACTGAGTTTTGGATTTTCATATTGTTGTATTTGCTACTCAAGGGCAGAATTATTCCGGAATTGAAAATTCGAACACCCTGGACCGAATCACTGGACCAAATGAGAAAGTAGTTCAAGAGCTGAATACACAATGCCATTCAGAAAGTGGTCAAATGTAACATATCCCATATTTGGGATGACACTTTCTTAATAGAGTACAGATTCTAGTGCTTTTGTTGGGTTAGTCCCATCCGGCATTCGAACTCTGAGGGTGTTTGTTCAAATCCCGGATGGGACTCAACCCAACAGAAGTACTAGAATCTGTACTTTACTAAGAAAGTGTAATCCCAGATATAACATATGTTACAGTTCAAAAGCTGCCTCAATATGCACTAATGCACTGACAGCTTAAGTGTCACGTGTCGTGTGTCACGTGTAATGTGGTTGCATGTCAGTTCTATTTTCAGATGCGGCATGACGTGGACACACACGTGTATTCTTATTAAAGATTTGATATTCACGCTTGACACGCTTCGTACCCTACGGGATTTAATGGGGTTTCGAGAAGACACCTACTCAACACCCCTGTCTGCTATTGTCTGGGATCCTCAGTATTTTGGGAACAAACGTAGAGCTTTCTATGCCTGGCTAATGCGCACATTTTCTCAAGTCCTAATGGATTAACTGACTCTGCAGATATTTTTACATGTCATGCGTTATTTCGGACTGTGAAAATGTGGTTTATATTCTTTTTCTAACAATGAATGGCCAAACTACAACTACAGACAGATATTTCATTGTCATTTAGTTCAGATTATCTGTAATGTATAGTGACTGGCCAAATTACAACCACAGACAGATATTCCATTGTCATATAGTTCAGATTATCTGTAATGTATAATGACTGGCCAAACAACAACCACAGACAGATATTTCATTGTCATTTAGTTCAGATTATCTGTAATGTATAGTGACTGGCCAAATTACAACCACAGACAGATATTCCATTGTCATATAGTTCAGATTATCTGTAATGTATAGTGACTGGCCAAACTACAACCACAGACAGATATTTCATTCAGACTATATGGTTTAAATTATGTGTTTCATTGTCATTTAGTTCAACTGTAAGGTTAATGACTGGCCAAATTACAACCACAGACAGATATTTCATTGTCATATAGTTCAGATTATCTGTAATGTATAATGACTGGCCAAACTACAACCACAGACAGATATTTCATTGTCATTTAGTTCAGATTATCTGTAATGTATAGTGACTGGCCAAATTACAACCACAGACAGATATTCCATTGTCATATAGTTCAGATTATCTGTAATGTATAATGACTGGCCAAACTACAACCACAGACAGATATTTCATTGTCATATAGTTCAGATTATCTGTAATGTATAATGACTGGCCAAATTACAACCACAGACAGATATTTCATTGTCATATAGTTCAGATTATCTGTAATGTATAATGACTGGCCAAACTACAACCACAGACAGATATTTCATTGTCATTTAGTTCAGATTATCTGTAATGTATAGCAATGTACTGACCAAACTGTTAACTGTGATGCGTCCCGACAACTGGGTTGTTAACTGTGGTGTGTCATCCGGACAACGGAGTTGTTCACTGTGATGCGTCCCGACAACCGGGTTGTTAACTGTGGTGCATCCCGACAACTAGAGTTGCTTTAACTGTGGTGCATCCCGACAACCGGGTTGTTAACTGTGGTGCGTTCTGACAACTGCTGTTAACTGTGGTGCGTCCTCAAGACTAACTGAGTTGTTAACTGTGGTGCGTCCTGACAACTGGGTTGTTAACTGTGGTGCGTCCCTCACAACCGAGTTGTTAACCGTGGTGTGTCCCGACAACTGGGTTGTTAACCGTTGTGCGTCCGGCCAACTGGGTTGTTAACTGTGGTGTGTCCTGACAACTGCTTGTTAACTGTGGTGTGTCCTCACAACTTAGTTGTTAACTGTGGTGCGTCCTCACCAACTGGGTTGTTAACTGTGGTGTGTCCTGACAACTAAGTTGTTAACTGTGGTGTGTCCTCACAACTTAGTTGTTAACTGTGGTGTCCTCACAACTGGGTTGTTAACTGTGGTGCGTCCTGACAACTGGGTTGTTAACTGTGGTGTGTCCTGACAACTGGGTTCTTAACTGTTGTGTTTCCTGACAACTGAGTTGTTAACTGTGGTGTGTCTTGACAACTGGGTTGTTAACTGCGGTGTGTCCTCACAACTGGGTTGTTAACTGTGGTGTGTCCTGACAACTAAGTTGTTAACTGTGGTGTGTCCTGACAACTGGGTCGTTAACTGTGGTGTGTCCTGACAACTGGGTTCTTAACTGTGGTGTGTCCTGACAACTAAGTTGTTAACTGTGGTGTGTCCTCACAACTTAGTTGTTAACTGTGGTGTGTCCTGACAACTAAGTTGTTAACTGTGGTGTGTCCTCACAACTGAGTTGTTAACTGTGGTGTGTCCTGACAACTGAGTTGTTAACTGTGGTGTGTCCTGACAACGGAGTTGTTAACTGTGATGTGTCCTGACAACTGGGTGTGTTAACTGAGTTGTTAGCTTTGTGTATCCTGACAACTGGGTTGTTAACTGTGGTGTGTCCTGACAACTAAGTTGTTAACTGTGGTGCGTCCTCACAACTGAGTTGTTAACTGTGGTGTGTCCTGACAACTGGGTTGTTAACTGTGGTGTGTCCTGACAACTGGGTTGTTAACTGTGGTGTGTCCTGACAACTGGGTTGTTAACTGTTGTGTGTCCTGACAACTGGGTTGTTAACTGTGGTGTGTCCTGACAACTGAGTTGTTAACTGTGGTGTGTCCTGACAACTGGGTTGTTAACTGTGGTGCGTCCTGACAACCAAGTTGTTAACTGTGGTGTGTCCTGACAACTGGGCTGTTAACTGTGGTGTGTCCTGACAACTGGGTTGTTAACTGTGGTGTGTCCTGACAACTGGGTTGTTAAATGTGGTGTGTCCTGACAACTGGGTTGTTAACTGTGGTGTGTCCTGACAACTGGGTTCTTAACTGTGGTGTGTCCTGACAACTGGGTTCTTAACTGTTGTGTGTCCTGACAACTGGGTTCTTAACTGTGGTGTGTCCTGACAACTGAGTTGTTAACTGTGGTGTGTCCTGACAACTGGGTTGTTAACTGTGGTGCGTCCTGACAACTGAGTTATTAACTGTAGTGTCCTCACAACTGAGTTGTTAACTGTTGTGTGTCCCTCACAACTGGGTTCTTAACTGTGAACGTGTGTCCTGACAACTGGGTTCTTAACTGTGGTGTGTCCTGACAACTGGGTTCTTAACTGTGGTGTGTCCTGACAACTGAGTTGGTAACTGTGGTGTGTCCTCACAACTGGGTTGTTAACTGTTGTGTGTCCTGACAACTGTTGTTAACTGTGGTGTGTCCTGACAACTTGGTTGTTAACCGTGGTGTGTCCTTGACAACTGGGTTGTTAACTGTGGTGCGTCCTGACAACTGGGTTGTTAACTGTGGTGTGTCCTGACAACTGAGTTGTTAACTGTGGTGTGTCCTGACAACTGAGTTGGTAACTGTGGTGTGTCCTGACAACTGGGTTGTTAACTGTGGTGTGTCCTGACAACTGGGTTGTTAACTGTGGTGTGTCCTGACAACTGGGTTGTTAACTGTTGTGTTTCCTGACAACTGAGTTGTTAACTGTGGTGTGTCTTGACAACTGGGTTGTTAACTGCGGTGTGTCCTCACAACTGTTGTTAACTGTGGTGCGTCCTGACAAATCCTGCTGTTAACTGTGGTGTGTCCTGACAACTGGGTCGTTAACTGTGGTGTGTCCTGGACAACTGGGTTGTTAACTGTGGTGTGTCCTGACAACTGGTTGTTAACTGTAATTGTGTCCTCACAACTTAGCTGTTAACCGTGGTGCGTCCTGACAACTAAGTTGTAAACTGTGGTGTGTCCTCACAACTGAGTTGTTAACTGTGGTGTGTCCCGACAACCGGGTTGTTAACTGTGGTGTGTCCTGACAACGGAGTTGTTAACCATGATGCGTCCTGTGACAACTGGGTTGTTAACTGTGGTGTATCCTGACGAACTGGGTTGTTAACTGTGGTGTATCCCGACAACTGGGTTGTTAACTGTGGTGTGTCCTGACAACTTTGTTAACTGTGGTGTGTCCTCACAACCGAGTTGTTAACTGTGGTGTGTCCTGACAACTGGTTGTTAACTGTGGTGCGTCCTGACAACTGGGTTGTTAACTGTGGTGTGTCCTGACAACTGGGTTGTTAACTGTTGTGTGTCCTGACAACTGGGTTGTTAACTGTGGTGTGTCCTGACAACTGAGTTGTTAACTGTGGTGTGTCCTGACAACTGGGTTGTTAACTGTGGTGTGTCCTGACAACCAAGCTGTTAACTGTGGTGCGTCCTGACAACCGGAGTTGTTAACCGTGGTGCGTCCTGACAACTGGGTTGTTAACTGTGGTGTGTCCTGACAACTGCTTGTTAACTGTGGTGTGTCCTGACAACTGGGTTGTTAACCGTGGTGTGTCCTGACAACTGGGTTGTTAACTGTGGTGTGTCCTGACAACTGAGTTGTTAACTGTTGTGTGTCCTGACAACTGGGTTCTTAACTGTGGTGTGTCCTGACAACTGAGTTGTTAACTGTGGTGTGTCCTGACAACTGGGTTGTTAACTGTGGTGTGTCCTGACAACTGGGTTGTTAACTGTGGTGTGTCCTGACAACTGGGTTGTTAACTGTAGTGTGTCCTGACAACTTTGGTTGTTAACTGTGGTGTGTCCTGACAACTGGGTTGTTAACTGTGGTGTGTCCTGACAACTGGGTTGTTAACTGTGGTGTCCCTGACAACTGAGTTGGTTAACTGTGGTGTGTCCTGGACAACTGGGTTGTTAACTGTGGTGTGTCCTGACAACCGGGTTGTTAACTGTGGTGTGTCCTGACAACTGGGTTGTTAACCGTGGTGTGTCTTGACAACTGGGTTGTTAACTGTGGTGTGTCCTGACAACTGGGTTGTTAACGGTGGTGTGTCCTGACAACTGAGTTGTTAACTGTGGTGTGTCCTGACAACTGGGTGGTTAACGGTGGTGCGTCCTGACAACTGGGTTGTTAACTGGTGGTGTGTCCTGACAACTTGGTTGTTAACTGTGGTGTATCCTGACAACTGGGTTGTTAACTGTGGTGTGTCTTCATAACTGGGTTGTTAACTGTGGTGTGTCCTGACAACTTAGTTGTTAACTGTGGTGTGTCCTGACAACTGGGTTGTTAACTGTGGTGTATCCTGACAACTGGGTTGTTAACTGTGGTGTGTCCTGACAACAGGTTGTTAACTGTGGTGTGTCCTGACAACTGGGTTGTTAACTGTGGTGTGTCCTGACAACTGGGTTGTTAACTGTGGTGTGTCCTGACAACTGGGTTGTTAACTGTGGTGTATCCTGACAACTGGGTTGTTAACTGTGGTGTATCCTCACAACTGGGTTGTTAACGGTGGTGTGTCCTGACAGCAGGAGTTGTTAACTGTAGTGTGTCCTGACAACTGAGTTGTTAACTGTGGTGTGTCCTGACAACTGGGTTGTTAACTGTGTGTGTCCTGACAACTGAGTTGTTAACTATGGTGTGTCCTGACAACTGGGTCATTAACGGTGGTGTGTCCTGACAAGTAGCAGTTGGTCCCAGTTACAAGTAATATGGAATACGATAATACCCCTGTTGTCAGTGGACCACACTGTTACAACTCACAACCCTCTTTCATACCCAGTACATATAATCGAGACTGACTATTCTCCGACGTTGATGTAATATTGTTCACATGAGTTTCAGTTTGAGACAGGATCGATACACTACAGACTTCACAATTCAACCCGATTGTTCACCCAACTTTTATTTATTGTTTGTGTTGCGCAGTTCACCACCCGATGTACGGCTGTCTAAATTAGACTGTGTGTGAATTTCCAGATATATTTACGGCAATCGACTCATATCCATTCCTTTGTTCGTGGTGCGTGTAGAGACAAAGGTGGAGGTCCTAGGAGACACCAGGGCGTTGCTGGAGCTGTGCGTTGTCGCTATTTCCGAACAGTACAGATTCAAGGTATTAAAGGAGAGGACACGGAAGCCGGGATGCCATTCACCAGACAGTTGCGAGTTGATCATTGTCGTTATTTCCGAACAGTACCGAGGTATTTCGAACAGAACCCAGGATTTCATCCATCAGACAGCTGCAAAGGTCGGACCACTTCTTGAATCCACAAAGTACAGGCTCCGACACCTTGGTAGGTATTTGTTAACCAATAATGTTTTCAAGAAGGTGTTTTTTCCGTGTGGGGCTAGATGCCCTGTTTCAGCATTACCTTGGAGCAATCAAACAGTTAGGAGAAAATCAATGTTGTTACTTGTAATCACCTTTTATCAGTGATTGTTGTTTCGTAGCTTTGATGCTTAAAGATAAAGTGTTTCTTTATAATGTATCTTCATTTCTCAGATAGCTTGTCTATTTCGTGTGTTGAAAGTTAGGGTGTAATAAATAAGGATTGGGCATTTTTACTCGTCGTATATTTTTCTAGACCATGCCCGTTCACGATCTACACAAACCTTTGGAAGACTGGGCCAGGAGGCGAGGCCAGATCTATGACGAGGAAGCCAGGTTGGAGGTTGACACCCACAGACTGCGTATCAGCACCACCGAGTCCTCCATGTCCGAACTCCGGGTCGCTGCAAGATCAATTCTCCATCCGGGGTCTTGTTCAAGTCAAATACAAGAACAGTACAGACACCACCCAAGAGCACACCTTCATGGTGGAGAGACAAACCGAGGCAACGGTCACGACCTCTTTGGCAAACGGCTTCACCAGAAATGGCAACGTTGGAATACAGTTAAACGTTCCTGTTGACGTCTCCAAAGCTACTGGCAGCTTCGGGTCGAGCGTGACCGTGGACACCGAAGACGAGAACACTGTGAAACATGCCGTCAGCTGGGCCATCAACTCCAAGGTGAAAGCCCTCCAGGGGAGACAACTGTCGCTGTTCTTAAGATTATTGAGGAGAAGCATTACTTTACCTTCGAGGCCAAGGTCACCATGAAGGGACGGGTCCTGGTACGAATTATGGATGACGACGGAACTGTTCTGCGCGTCATGGAGAATGACCTGGCCACCATCTTGGAGGATGATAAAGAGTTTAAAAAAAAAGGGGAGTCAAAGGTTGACATGCAAACAAGAAAGGTCATATGGGATGTGTCTGGGTCGCTGAACTTCCGGTTCGGTGTGTCGCAGGATGTGGAGGTGTTTCACGAGGAAAAAACAAGCAGGCTCAATCACATCGCTAAAGTTTCGACACCATTCGTGCTCTGCTATAGTCAGATACTTGTTCATTTCTTCTCTCCAGATTTTTATGCAGAAATATCCTGAAGATTGTATGGGCAACTAGGCAGTCTGTTTTATCCTAATAAGTCTGTTTTATCCTACTAAGTTAATCAGCCCCACAACTCTCGATATCTACTTATCTTTACACGCATGATGATGGCAATAAAACTTGTAAGTAAACTTCTGACTTGACTTTTGGCTCTTTTGGTGAGATACCCGGTTATTATGACGGTTGGTTGGTTGTTTAACGCCGGATTCAGCAAAATTCCAGGTATATAGCAGCGGTATGTAAATAATCGAGTCTGGAGCAGACATTCACGTGATCAACGTCATGAGCATCGATTGGGATACGATGACATGTGTCAACCAAGTCAGCGAGCCTGACCACCCGATCCCGTTAGTCGACGCTTACGACTAGCCTTGTTGAAGGCCTATTCTAACCCTGATCTTCACGGGTTGTTGTGGCGGCCGTTTTACCTTCGTACATGGATCGCTCTAGGATGTTAGTTGTATAGAAACATCACCGTATAGGTGAGTGATGGAATGACTGGTCACGTCAGTGGCTGACTGGATGCACAACGACCCACGCCATGGAAGCACGATGACACACTGTTAGCCATGCCACACAGTTGGCAAGGTCACACGTTAGTCAGGCCACACAGTTAGACAGATGACACGTTGGTCAGGGTCCACACAGTTAGACCAGGTCACACGTTAGCCGGGTCACACAGTTAGACAGGTCACACAGTTAGCCAGGTCACACGTTAGTCAGGTCACACAGTTAGACAGGTCACACGTTAGTCAGGTCACACAGTTAGACAGGTCACACGTTAGTCAGGTCACACAGTTAGACAGGTCACACGTTAGCCAGGTCACACAGTTAGACAGGTCACGTTAGCCAGGTCACACAGTTAGACAGATCAAACGTTAGAGAGGTCACACAGTTAGACAGATCACACGTTAGTCAGGTAACACAGTTAGACAAGTCACACGCTAGTCAGGTCAGGTCACACGTTAGTCAGATCACATCAGTTAGTCAGACACACGTTAGTCCGGGTCACACAGTTAGACAGATCACACGTTAGTCAGGTCACACAGTTAGACAGGTCACACAGTTAGACAGGTCACACAGTTAGACAGATCACACGTTAGTCAGTAACACAGTTAGACAGATCACACGTTAGTCCAGGTCACACAGTTAGACAGGTCACACAGTTAGACAGATCACACAGTTAGTCAGGTCACACAGTTAGACCAGGTCACGTTAGTCAGGTCACACAGTTAGACAGATCACAGTCAGTTAGACAGGCAGGTCACACAGTTAGACAGGTCACACAGTTAGGCAGGTCACACAGTTAGACAGGTCACACAGTTAGACAGGTCACACAGTTAGACAGGTCACACGTCACACAGTTAGACAGGTCACACGTCAGCCAGGTCACACAGTTAGACCAGATCACACGTTAGTCAGGTCACACAGTTAGACAGGTCACACAGTTAGACAGGTCACACAGTTAGACAGATCACACAGTTAGCCAGGTCACACAGTTAGACAGATCACACGTTAGTTAGGTCACACAGTCACACACACGTTAGCCAGATCACACAGTTAGGCAGGTCTCACGTTAGTCACACAGTTAGCCAGATTACCAGGCCACACAGTTAGCCAGGTCACACAGTTCACGAATTAGTCAGGACACACAGTTAGGTCAGGGTCACACAGAGTTAGGTAATAGGTCACAGGTCAGTTAGTTAGCCAGGCACACAGTTAGACAGATCACACTGTTGTTAGATCACGTTAGCCGGTCACACGACAGGTGTTAGCCAGGTCACACAGATATATATATGGGAACTTAAGTGCATGACAGTGAGTGACACTAATTGTACATGTCAGTCCTATTTTCTACACTATAAGTCCCTAAACAGACATGTTTTATGGTTCTGATAACAGCAATCTCAAATTTAGGTTGCATACTCAGTTATTCTATTGACCATTTTATACAATTTATGGTACAACAGTTTGCCGTTTTGTCAATGAATACGAAGGAAAACATTTGTTGTGAATGAAAGTGTGTAGATTTTAATTTAAACCAAAACATACTCACAAAATATCATATATGTTCTTTTCCCCAAAATACCGGTTCTCATAAATAAATAGTGCAATGGGTATGGTTTTGAAAAGCGTATTGTGATATACCAGTATGTCGGTAATACCGTGTCGTCCCTAGACTAAACTATGTGTATCGTTGACACAGCATCACATACAGTGAACTGTATCTCTGTATCAGCATCATATATGACATATGTGTAGTCTAAACCACCAGTTCCCAAGCTGCAGCTGCTGGTGTGACAATATGATGTTTACTGGATCGGTAGTTACACCGAACAACGGAAACAGTCCGAGCCGACATTACCGTGACGGAGCAATGGAAACATTGTACCCAATGTATACTGGCCATAACATCCACCTTTCTGTTTAAAGCAATTGCGGAAAAGTGAGAACTACATGAGAGAACTACTATTTCATATATTTCTGAATACATTGTCGGTGATATAGAAGTCTCAAGGTGTGCTGCGACCTACAGTATCACGTTGTACTGCAGGGATGTTGTAGCAATACACCCCGGAATATGTATCGCAGTATTCAGATTCTGCTCTAGACAGGGTCCAGTGTATACAAGTAAAAGCAACTGTACTACCACCACCCGTCTTCCCGACGCGTCTCGAGGACTGGTCGACCCTGCCCACGCCCCCATGTTTCGTCACAATATTAATATCTACAAGGGTCACTTTGGGTTGATTTCATTAACCACAATATTGTTTAACTCAACTCATTAAGTGTGTATTACCATTCATAACACGACACATACAGGCTTATATCCGCACTGCAATGTATGGATCAAACCCACTCATGCGAATCAAGCATATTGACGGCTTGAGTCGCTACAGTGTACAAACCACACATCTATGTAGTGAATGTGTACATTTCACTCGAACACTAAGTATATTACACACGGGGTAGAATCGTTATGTAAATAAACATGAAGAGTGTATACACTTGTCTTACAGCTCGGCCCATGACGGTAACGTATGTGGGACGTGTTCCCGATACTCGGAGCGCGCTGTCGTTATCGATTGTATAGGTTTACCTGAGCGTGTTGTGTCGCGCAGTAGGTATAGGTACAGAATGATGTGGAGGTATTACCGTTGGTGATGTCATAAGTCTTATAGCTCACTTTATTTTGACCAACCACGTTGCCACACGCCACAGTCATAACGTGTGGTTATTTATAAAAACGTGAATCCCCCCCAGTCGACGACCACGTGCAGACAACGCCATGGAGAAACCAATGACTTGAGGAATTACCCGCTTAAAATATATTTGTAGAATATTCCAGGTTTGACATGGATTTATATTTAAATTCAGAACAGGGTATAAATGGTGATATTTCCAGGACATCATCCATTCGGAGACTGAGCTTCAGCCGTTTGCAGTATTTGCCGAATTCCCAGCGACCACAGACACTAATTGTTGGACTTCACTCCTAATAGGGCTACAAACTTCTCTCGTGAGTACCATCTTTTTCTTTGAGTTTGTTATTTCAAATTTTTATTTAATTTTGTACTTGATAAAATATATTTTGACTTCATGTGATCATGATACCACGATATTTTTCAATTATAAAGAATTTTCGTGGAAATATATGAAGTGGAAAGTATTTCTCAAATAATTACAGGACACCTGAAATATATATAGGGCTAACAGAGGCCATCACGACCCGAAATATCATGTCTACCTTACAGCTACCGTGTGAATAGACTTTCTCTTGTAATATTGTATAAACGTGCATGAAATATTATCCTATATCGTGTAAGTCGCTTTTTTTTAATCAAGAGACTTGGCTTCAATTGAAAAAGTGTATTGCAATTATAGCTGTAGTAAATGTGACCAGGTAAAACATGTAGGAAGCAGTCAGCGAACATACCATGACGTACTCACGATGTACAATGTATGAATAGGGCTTTGTCGTCAGCAGGCGTATAGTCTGTGTTACCAGGTATGTGTTCACATGTGTATCCGTGTACAAATAGCTTGTAAATTGTCATAAATTACTCAAGTAGTGAGAAATGGTTTTGTTGCGTGTGTATGTGTGGTGTGGTCTGTGTGCGTGCATGTGTGCATTCGTGCACGTGTGTGTGAGTGCGTGTGTGTGCAACTATTGACAAGTACAGTGTTTGTGGGTTTATTCATTTTACCCTTTTCTTTTCAGAAATCAACATGGGTGTGATCGATCTGGATACAGTTGTCAGGAAGTGGGTGGAGAACCGAGTGGGGGTCGGAAACGCCAGCAACAAGGCCATGGATATCGACTGGCACAGAGTCCACTTCTCTACCGTCAGTTCCAACTGTTACGAAAGCACCCAGTATCAGCAGCAACGCTATGGGGCACGAGGGTCCCAGAACACCGCGTCAGGCCGGTCCCAGGTTGTTTTCACGTCTAACTACGAGAACAACACGGGGGAGGTACAGAGCCACACCTTCCAGATGGAGAGGTCCACCGACGCTGTGGTCAGGACCAGTCTCACTAACGGCTTCTCCAAAGGCGGCGACGTCGGCATCAACGTTGACGTACCCGATACCATCTCCAAGGCGACTGCAAGCTTTGGCAACGACGTCCAAATACAACAGCAAGACGACAACACGGTCAAACACGCTGTCAAGTGGTCCCTGAACTCCACGGTGAGGGCCCAGCCCCACTCCCGGACCACCGCCAAGCTTTGTGTCACCGAGACGGAGAGCGAGTTCGACTTCGACGCCGAGGTGCACATCAGAGGTACAGTTCTGGTCAAGATGACCAACGGTGGGGCTGCCCAAACTGTAAGCCAGGGGACATTGCGACCATTCTACAGGACGAGACAGATAAGGGCAGATTCAACTCCGACAACAAGGTGACCATTCAAGGGCGGAAGGTCTCCTGGAAGGTTGCTGGGAAACTCAAGTTTAAATACGGCATTTCCCAGGATACATCTGTATCGAGTGAATCACTTTTGTAGATGGTGATACACTCTGTCAAAGACTATTGCAAGATGGTCACAGTCCGAGATCGGAAGGCGATACAAACGTTTGAGACATTTCTTGTTTATGAACTTTATACATGAGAGGAACTGAGATTAAGAAACAACTTTTCAGACATCCTCTGAAACTCTTAAAATGGTTCAAACTGCCACTTGATTACCTTTGATATCACCCTTGGTTTGACGCTGGAAAATATTTGACTTTTGTGTTTAATAATATTTCTGTGTATTATGTTGTTGTTTTCTACCATACAAGAATATAAGCATTACAAATTGTGCGATGTGTACATTTGTTAAAATAAAAGTGTAATCATCAAATAACAAACGTATTCTTCGCCTTTACATGTTATGATCATCTCGCTGCATAGGAATTAGTTCACGTAGGAACTGAAGGGAATCAACGGCAAACCCATGACTGGTTGAAACACCGTCATCCATCAACATGCCGCCGACGACTTTGCCAAGAGGTCTCCGGAGATTTTGGAATCATCAGTTTCCGGCGCTCTCGATTCCTTATTAAGTGACCCGAGGAGGTCAGCCATCGGCCTAAGTTGGCCTGCCAGAGGACTGTCAGCTGACCAGGTGGTCGATCTTCTAGCAGATACCATTTCATTTCAATGTAGCATAACGGGTCGGTAGCTGCTCACGGTATCGAACACTGGTTGCCTCAACCATACCCTAATATTTACCAAGTTAATACATAAGCCAAACAAAATGTATTTGGTCTTTTGTATAATAGGCAAAATGGGTAAAATGAGTTCATGTAAAAGGGATTTTACGTTCTCTTCTTTTAATGTTTCTGACCGGCTGCTACAACCGTTACATATGTGAGACGTAAATCTCATGATTTGAGACGATTAGTGAAAGAAGTTTTCTTTTCATCTTCTACACATACATGAAAAAGCTCAAGTTACGAAAACGAAGCTTTAAATTCTTATTTGATACTATCTAATCGTCCTTGATACCTGATTTCCCATGATACCTGATAGAACAAACATGAATGTTTGGTGAAAGTTTAATCAATGCACAGTACGCCAATATCAACAAGAGGGGAAAAATAGTTCACTGTACAGGTTCCACATTCGGCGGCCTCGTTCTGCATTCCGCCAGCAGATCACGGGGCTGCAACACCTAAAACCTATGTGCATCATGTGTGAAAAGGGTGTGTAGATGATGTAGTCAGTAGATGATGTTTCACATCAAAGGGAATTGAGTTACATTTCATTTAACGATCGTCTTTGACACTATGCATTGCTCACAAGGTTATTAATTTCAGCCGCTCACGCGCACACTCACGCGCATTCACACTATTACACGAAAACGCAAATGGACATGCGCACGTGCACGCACAATCACACGGAAACACAAATGGACATAACCTAGAAACCTATGCGTGTAAGAGTTCTTCAGTAACCTATGCGTGTGATAGTTCTTCAGTAACCTATGTGTGTGAGAGTTCTTCAGTAACCTTGTAGTAAATTCAGTAACTTAGTAAAGTTCATGTGAGGAGTTCTTCAGTAACCTATGTCTGTGATAGTTCTTCAGTAACCTATGCGTATGATAGTTCTTCAGTAACCTATGTGTGTGACAGTTCTTCAGTAACCTATGTGTGTGACAGTTCTTCAGTAACCTATGTCTGTGAGAGTTCTTCAGTAACCTATGCGTGTGAGGGTTCTTCAGTAACCTATGCGAGTGAGAGCCCTTCAGTAAGCTATGCGTGTGTGAGAGTACTTCAGTAACCTATGTGTGTAGAAGTTTTTCAGTAACCTATGTGTGTGAGAGTTCTTCAGTAACCCAGGTGTGTGTGTTCACTACAATGTATTGCAGTGTTTCTCTTAAGGTTCAGTCGTGTTCATAGCATTGAGTTTTAACAATAATTAGTTACCTGCAGTATATTACTATCTTATCTTAGGGATGGTACGGAAGTTACAACGCTTTCATGCTTTTGGAGTTGAGGGTAATCTGGAATATTCAAGAACAGCTGCAGAAAGTAACATCATTGTGTAGTAGTAACTAGTAGGTGTGGCTGTCGCCTCAACATGTCGTCAAGTTCGCAGTGGGTGAGGGAAGCAGTGAAATGCAAACAATAATTACCAGATTCTGGACCTTCGTCCTCGAACGCCAGCGCCGCATCAAAGAACTCATCCAGATCCACGGTGCCATCACCTTTGAACCATTACAGAAACCGTATCTGAGGACGTACTTGAAGTCGGTGAATCGCACCACAGTGGTCGAGTAAAACATTTGAATCTACAATTGAACTATTGTAAATAGTGATGCCCCAATATAAACCTTTGCTAATAGCCCATTAGTTAAATGGCTGTCTACATTGGTAGAGGTACATTTGGCCTAACAATGGGGATACCAGTGTGACTGACACAACCACCCCCACACACCTAGTGAGACAGCCACACGCACACGCACTCGCACACGCACATGCACGCACACACGCTTATACTGTTACGAGCTTCACGTAGACATCAACTCACGCTTGGCATCGGCCATGTTCATGAAGTGGTCGAGTTGGGCATCGCTGTGGTCGACTCCGAAGTAGCTGGCGGCCTCGGACCTGTCCACTAATCCGTCTGTGTTTGCGTCCAGAGCCCGGATCTCACGCCCAGTAAATTTTCTGTAGACGTGAACATTTTCAGTGACTGAACATGTGTTAGGAGCATTCAAAATGATTGAATTTCTAATCAGTCGGCATCAGTCGGTAAGCTCTGATACCTGCTGACCGGAGTCCCGTAACTGTGCGTATTGTTGATTCGCCGACATAGTGCATCTATGAGGAGGCGGTTGCGGAGGTGCACACGTACCCAGATACCCGTCTTCCTCTGACCTTGGTCTCTCTGTTCTCAGCCTGAACATTGTCCGACCTGCCTGCCTGAACCGTTCCAACAAGTTTCCAAGGCAACACAGGAACAGTCAAAGGTTCCTGCAACGTCGGTATGGGTTGCCCCCATCTGTATCATTCCAACGGCTGTGGCACGTGCATTTCCACCAGTATTTCGAAGTTCACGTGAATTCCAATTTTTAGCATGTTCTCAGAAACACGTGTATGGTCCCGGGACAGAAGTCACGTACACAAAGGTCGCGTTGTGTTTGCGACTATTTGGGTTTATATTCGTACTACTAACTTTTATGAACACACATGTATGTCATTTAGAAACTGGTCAAATGTAACACATTATTATATTTGGCATTACACTTTCTCAGTAAAGTACGGATTCCCATCCGTGATTCGAACCCACAGTCACAGTCTCAGCTACCGCGGCTTCTAGAAAAACGTTAAGTAGGCCCTAATCATAATTTCAAATGTGTGTAGTGCCGTTTATTTGATGATAACTTTGTGATGGATACCATCACTCAGGTGTTTGAAATGCGCGAAAAAACAACTGCGCGAACAGGCCTTTTGTGAACTTTCCGCGAAAATTGCACCCCGCGAAAATATATACGATTACAGTAGATGTTTTAATTTAAAGAGCAGTGTTTTCCTGATAGAAAAAGTAATTAACATTAAAATCATACTGAACAAAATACTGATAATCAAATCTGTGAACGAACCGTTTTAAAAAGGGCATAGATGAATGAAAACATTCTACATTTCGCCGCCTGAACGATGATGCCACACGTCACGTCTTGACGAGCTACAGAAACAAAGCCCAGTTCTCGTCAATCTGTGGAAGTCAACTGAACGGACTACTGACAATCAGCAATGACACCAGGTGTCCGAGAAAAGGGTAGTATGTTCTGTCCTACCAGTGACGCCGTTCAAAAGATTTTCACTAAGCCTTTACAGGCCGCCCCAGCGGCCATGCGACGGTGATGGCTTGTAAACAAACCAGACAATCAAGTGATCAATCAACCAAAACGTCCAGTGACACGATAGTGGATTTATTAATGTGAGCGTGAGTTAATGATTTGAGGTTTACGCCGGTTTTGGCAATATTCCAGCAATATCACGCGTGGACACCAGAATTGGGCTTCACACATTGTACCTATGTGGGGAATCGAACCCGAGTCTTCGGCGTTACGAGCGAACGCTTTAACCAGTAAGCTAGCCTACCGCCTCTTACTGATGACTTTTAGATACAGACTTGACTGGTGTCTGCTTAAAGTGACAATGCTGAATAACGTTGTTGAAACGTTATCTTTAACAGTGTACCATAATCAGTAGAACATTGAAACTAAGAGTTATTTCAACAAGATACTTTAACGGTAAATAGTAAATACCTGTAAAGCCCACACCCAACCTTTATTCCCGTGTGGTAAGGCCCGAAATATGTTTTAGCCACAGTGCCCAAGACTGGCTTGATGAAGGGTTTTAGTGTTCGGAAAGGAACTCTGAAGCGTCGAAATCGGACTCGTAACCACCCATCCGTTCCCATGACGACCAGGACAGCGGTCAAACATAGAAGATACACCAGCTTCATTCTCACTCTGAAAATAAAGTCAATTCGTGAGAGTCTCGGTAATTGGGACATGAGAATTTTGTAATTCCGGAAGATAAGTCAGCGAAGCCTGATTATTCGAGAGATTTTTTTAATCAAACCACGTTTTGGTCGATACATATTTTCTCTACAGTTATGCATAATGAACTCCACTGACGACTCGGAGAGAGAATCACTAGGGATATAGTGCAACAATGAAGAATGAAAGTATGGGTGCACACTCCTGCTGTACCGGGGCAGGAAGGGAAGCCATGGAAACCTCCAAAACACCCTCCCACCTGCAGTCAAGTTGAGAGTGCTTCTCTGTTTCTGCTATGTTACAGTGATTCCCAACACAATTCCAAGCCATTAAGGCAAAATAAACTGAATGAAATGATAACAGATACATCTATAAACATTTATCAAATCCACATTATATTAATAAGAAAAAAAAACAAGAAAAAACCCGGAAGTACCCCATGCATCCTGTGAGACAGCCTATAAGGACCCCAGAAGTATATTGTTTGGTGGTACACCCCAACCCCAACCCCAACCCCACCATCACGCCGTCAGTTTCCACCCACCACGCCGAGGGGCGAAATATTACATGTCGGGTGCAGATTTAACATGATTCTTTACGTTCATAACTTGCTGGGGGAAAGGTACGAAAGAATACTAATATAATCGGTAACATGAAACTGAGCTGTCTCAAAAAATAAAATAACAATGAAACAATGAAAAAGAAAAAACCAAATCGCGACATTTTTTGGTCTTGGTCAAACGAAACAACCAGAAACATGACAATTCATTTGGTCTAGACAGTTTCTCTTCTATGGACAGTTGTGATAGCACGCGGTCACTACAGTGTAAGGACAGCTAAAGCACACGGTCACTATAGTGTAAGGACAGCTAAAGCACACGGTCACTGCAGTATTGTAACCTTAGCAATATATTCAATAAGCCTACCTTTATCTGGGCGTTTGGCTCTGCGCATCGGCGTGTCGTACATCAGGCTTTTAAATACTCGGGGTGTGAAATTCACAAGCGGCGTTTTCCGGGGAAACTCACGACAAATTTCCATTTTTTCCCACAATGTGTGATGTCCGGGATGCAAGCTGATGTGCTGCAGATATATCTACACAACATGCTACTGGAACACAATCTAACACCACCATAACGATGTGGAAACAGAAGCTGGCCGTACACACGCAGGCCTTGGCCAAACATATAAATGGCAGCTCACGTATAATGAAAATCTGCAAGAAACCTGTGACCGTGCCTTAAAATCATGGTTTGAATCGATATACATTGTTTAAGTTAATACATATTCATTACCTGTCTGATGTTACTACATATTCCGTACCCACACGGACCGACACCCTGTTCTCTGTAACACACAGACACCCTGTTCCCTGTCACATACACCGACACACTGTTCCCTGTCACATACACAGACATCCTGTTCTCTGTCACATACACTGACACCCTGTTCCCTGTCACATACACCGACATCCTGTTCCCTGTCATACACAGACATCCTGTTCTCTGTCACATACACTGACACCCTGTTCCCTGTCACATACACAGACACACTGTTCCCTGTCACATACACCGACATCCTGTTCCCTGTCACATACACCGACACCCTGTTCCCTGTCACATACACCGACACACTGTTCCCTGTCACATACACACATATCCTGTTCCCTGTCACATACACAGACACCCTGTTCCTGTCACATGTTCCCTGTCACATACACTGACACCCTGTTCCCTGTCACATACACAGACATCCTGTTCTCTGTCACATACACAGACACACTGTTCCCTGTCACATACACTGGCACCCTGTCCCCTGTCACATACACAGACACACTGTTCCCTGTCACATACACAGACACACTGTTCCCAGTCACATACACAGACATCCTGTTCCCTGTCACATACACCGACACACTGTTCCCTGTCACAGACATCCTGTTCCCTGTCACATACACAGACACACTGTTCCCTGTCACATACACAGACATCCTGTTCCCTGTCACATACACAGACACCCTGTTCCCTGTCACATACACCGACACACTGTTCCCTGTCACATACACAGACACCCTGTTCCCTGTCACATACACAGACACACTGTTCCCTGTCACATACACCGACACACTGTTCCCTGTCACATACACAGACACCCTGTTCCCTGTCACATACACAGACACACTGTTCCCTGTCACATACACCGACACACTGTTCCCTGTCACATACACCGACACACTGTTCCCTGTCACATACACAGACATCCTGTTCCCTGTCACATACACCGACACCCTGTTCCCTGTCACATACACCGACACACTGTTCCCTGTCACATACAGACACACTGTTCCCTGTCACATACACCGACATCCTGTTCCCTGTCACATACACAGACATCCTGTTCCCTGTCACATACACCGACACACTGTTCCCTGTCACATATTCAGACACCATGTTCCCTGTCACATACGGGACATTCACTGTCATGTTTATCTAATAAATAAATGGTTGTGATCTTGAAGTCGTGAAAATAACTTTTGAAATTGACAACGTTTCTGCAACAAATTCTGCAGAGGGAACAAAACAGCAACTTATGTTATAACCTAGAGCTAACTAATACCAAACACGTAGAATATGTCACAATAGTGTTCCTGATTAGCTCCGATCAACGTATAGCAAGGACAGCATGGGACGTGTAGATAGCTGTTGTATTCCACCGTATTCTGTAACAACAGTAAACTACAAAGGGCCATGGTGTTACAATCAATACCACCAAATATACCTAACACCTCGTTACCTAACACAAAATCAGCATGTGTTACGGATAGCTCACATCCGGTTACACCAGAGTGTGAACTGCACTTATCACTCACGGATATCAGAAGCCCGTATCACACCTCCCGCCCGTCCCTGCGCCAGTCCCGCCTCTATATAGGAGCCCGATACCTCCTCACAGACGGCGGGCTGACAGGACGTCCACACAAGTGAGTATGCTTTTCAATATTTCATTGATACCTGCCTCGTTTTTAACAAAGTACCATGGGTGTGGGAATATCAGATCCTTAAATCATTGTCGGTGTGATTTAAAAGAACAAAGCGCCAGTGCCATAGTGGTCTAAGGAGTATAGTTCGCTGTTCAGAATAACGTCCCTTGTCCGTGTCAGGATTCGAATTGTGACTGCGAACTGATTATGACACGTTGTCTGTAAACATCATATTAGCGCGCGTTTTGACTGGACCTAGGTATTTCCTGCTAACACGTCTGGGTTTAGCTAACATGCGGTTCAAAGTGGAGGCTTAGCTCACACTCGCATATAGATACCCGTAGTTTAGCCAGAATGAAAGATAACTGTGTATTGACCGATTGATTTCTGAGTGGTGTATCTGTGTTGTGTATAGAAGTTGTATATATCTTAGTTCTATGTTTACCCATGTACATTAAAGTCAAGTACTTAAGTCGTGTGTCTTAGTCCTTTAGAAAGGTCGTCCTCTGTCCCAGTCTGAAAAATAAGTCGTGAGTCGGTGTCGCGATCTGTGTTGCGTATTTAAGCCACGCCATTAAGTCGTGTAGTTGTGTCATACATCTTAGTCGTGTGTCTATTCCCTGGACAGAATTCGTGAGTCTGTGACGTAAGCCCACGTCGTGAGTCTGTGACGTAAACCCACGCTGTGAGTCTGTGTCGTAAACCCACGGTGTGAGTCTGTGTCGTAAACCCACGCCGTGAGTCTGTGTCGTAAACCCACGCCGTGAGTCTTTGACGTAAACCCACGCTGTGAGTCTGTGTCGTAAACCTCAATTGTAAACCCAGTGAATGAATACTGGTCGTACAAGGACGTAAAATAATAATTAAAAAGTTATTCCAATCACGAGGATCGATGTCTGATGGAGTCTAGTCACTGGACTGGACTGTCCAGATTATACCAGTTGCCATGATATTACTGGAACTGCAGTGCGGCGTTAAATAAAACACAAGCCTTCCTTCGTCGTTTATCCAGACATCATATTTACGTGGTGTCGTTTATCCATACATCATATTTACGTGGTGTCAACATCGGTGCCAATATGAAATGTGGTGGCACGTGGTAGTTTGTACGGTGCGCAGGTCATAAATCAGCGTCGTCCGGCAACTTGGGTCTTACAATGTTGAGTATTTACTCCAGACACAGAGCAGTATGTTGATTCCCGACAGCTTGGGGTTTTTAGTCCTGCCCCAATGCTAAGCGCTTGTACCACTCGTGATGGGGGGTGTGGTCTTGTGAATAGAGGCCAGGTGACCGTGTTTGGCAACAGCACCTGAGAGTTTCTACTGTCCAACCAACATTAGAATGAGGTGCGCGTTTGTGAAAGCAGAGGGGGGAGCGTGCCGTGAACTGATCCACTACCCACTCGAATGGGGAACAGGTGTGAAAACTTCGCGCACGTGATTTTTGTGATCCTTGCAGTAATCACTTTCTATGCAATGATTCGGAAGCGTCGTGTTTCTGCTCGAGCATTTGTATACTAGTATCTTGTAAAGTGGACTGTTATAAAAGAGTATTAAACTCTGCAGATATTTGAAACTTATCATGTCGCACTCTAAATTGGGTAAACGGGGTCAAGTCATTCATTCACAAACACGTGAGAGGATGAAATCGAAAAACTTGTCGAACTTTTCGTCGATACAGATGACAGTGATATCAGTGATATTGATGACGAGTAGCAGATTCAAGAGACTTACATGTAGCAAATAGCAGACAAACTACCACTGGGCAATCAAATTACTAAGCTTTGTTTGTTTTATTTATTACTATCCCGTTTTGAATTTACATAACGATATTTCATTCCCCTCGAGGACAGCACAAGCGTATTATCCATAACATATTCACACACACAGAACCTGGGCTAGGACAGAAATTAACCTTTTGGTATTTTTTTTTATCGTTAAACACACAAACAATTCGAGTGTTGTATTGGGTTGTGTATGGAAATCGTCAACGGCAAAATAGCAAATAGAACCCGTTCCAGAAGAGCGAGAGTAGGCTGACAGGCTTCACAACAGTTTATCGCTTTACATACCCTCGGCCCCTTAATGGTAAAATGGACTGCACCGCTATTCAGATTCACGGGTTCAAATGACAGGTCGGCATTACAGTAGGACCCTCCTGCCCAACAAAGAAGTACATGGGATACATGTGGTCTCACTTTGGGGAAGCGAATTTGTTCAAAATTGCCTCTGTTCACCCAGCAGAAAATGGGTACCCGGTGGGATAAGTCATGTGACTATAACCTTCTAGCACCTAACAGACAGCTAGGTTATCCGGGGTAATAATGTGTTAGCGCCAAGAGCATCCTTACGAGTGTCGATATGCGTATTATAAATATAAACTGTTGTTATGCAGGTGACACGGTGGCATGGTCACGTGACTGTTAACTTTGGGATGTTGAGCTGCATACTGCTTAAAGAACTGCGAAAAACAATTACGTGCATATTGATCGAATGTTAGAGCTTTGAACATGCACCAACCGATAGCGCATTACAAGTACATGTATCCATTTTTAATCTTTATTTTTCAGAACAATTATATTATTATTATTATCATTAAGCCGACGGGTATATGAAACTGAAGCACTGCTAAAATTGGGGGCAAATTCATCTCATGGACTCTTCAACTTAAACATCGATGCAAGTTGGTTGATATATTGCAGGAACCATGAAGTTGTTCCCGGTGCTGCTGCTGTTTTCGATGTTGGTGCTGCTGCCGCAAGTCGATTCATTCAGTTGGAGACCAGCAATACAACTGGGTCGCAAGTACTTGCCCAAAATACATCGGGGGATAAAGGCCGGGTGTAATTTTTACAGGTAAAGCATTTGTACCATAGCCTGTGTTACCTCGAGAATCGCTGTATTTAGAGAATACAGCCTGTGTTCGCTGTATTTAGAGAATACTCCTCGAGAATCGCTGTATTTAGAGAATACAGCCTGTGTTACCTCGAGAATCGCTGTATTTAGAGAATACTGCCTGTGCTACCTCGAGAATCGCTGTATTTAGAGAATACAGCCTGTGTTACCTCGAGAATCGCTGTATTTAGAGAATACTGCCTGTGCTACCTCGAGAATCGCTGTATTTAGAGAATACAGCCTGTGTTACCTCGAGAATCGCTGTATTTAGAGAATACAGCCTGTGTTACCTCGAGAATCGCTGTATTTAGAGAATACAGCCTGTGTTACCTCGAGAATCGCTGTATTTAGAGAATACAGCCTGTGTTACCTCGAGAATCGCTGTATTTAGAGAATGCAGCCTGTGTTACCTCGGGAATCGCTGTATTTAGAGAATACAGCCTGTGTTATTCTCGAGAATCTGTTTTAGAGGAATACCCTCGAGAATCGCTGTATTTAGAGAATACAGCCTGTGTTACCTCGAGAATCGCTGTATTTAGAGAATACAGCCTGTGTTACCTCGAGAATCGCTGTATTTAGAGAATACAGCCTGTGTTACCTCGAGAATCGCTTTGTTTTTAGAATACAGCCTGTGTTTACCTCGAGAATCGCTGTATTTAGATAATACAGCCTGTGTTACCTCGAGAATCGCTGTATTTAGAGAATACAGCCTGTGTTACCTCGAGAATCGCTGTATTTAGAGAATACAGCCTGTGTTACCTCGAGAATCGCTGTATTTAGGAATACAGCCTGTGTTACCCTCGAGAATCGCTGTATTTAGAGGAATACAGCCTGTGTTACCTCGAGAATCGCTGTATTTAGAGAATACAGCCTGTGTTACCTCGAGAATCGCTGTATTTAGAGAATACAGCCTGTGTTACCCTCGAGAATCGCTGTATTTAGAGAATACAGCCTGTGTTACCTCGAGAATCGCTGTATTTAGAGAATACAGCCTTACCGTGTTTACCCTCGAGAATCGCTGTATTTAGAGCATGTTCCGAAGCATGGTTGTCTATTGCTCTGGGCCTGGCAGTCTGGAGACAACGACAGGTTCTGTCATATAGAAGGAATATTGTTGTGTATTACGGTAAACGAAACTCATAGAAAGGCAAACACTTATTGAGGCGTGTGTGGACGGCGGGTACGATTGGTTAGGAAGGACACCATTCGCAAACACCTGGTGTCATCACTGAATGACAGGGATCCGCTCATATAACTTTCACCGCTATTTTTGGGGACACAACTTTATTGCCACCACTGGTATCGTTTCGTTATAAGCTCAAAAGCATTTATCAGTGTGTTTCTTAACCTTATTCATTTGGTAGTTGGAACCGTGGGGTAGCTTAGTGGTTAAAGCGTTCGTTCGTCATTCCGAAGACCCGGGTTCGATTTCCCACATGGGTTACAATGTGTGAAGCCCATTTCTGGTGTCCCAGAAATGGTGTCCCTGGAATATTGCTAAACGCGGCGTAAAACCAAATTCACTCACTCACTCATTCAGCGGTGCAGGTTATACGCCCATGGTACAACAATACCACAATGCTGTGACAGTCACTGGACAGGGGTGTGGGACATGACATACAACTATTACCTGATACCAACGTGTTACAGGAATATACCCAGCTTGTCAAGCATACAGTTAATGGATCATGGGAGATGCAGTACTAAAGCAATACGTAATTGTCTTTATTATCACTCGGACTGGTGGGGTAGTTAAAGCGTTTGGTCTTCGCAACGAAGACGCGGGTTCGGATCCCCATATTGGTACATTGTGTGAATCCCATTTCCGGCTTACTGGAATATTGGTAAAACCAAACTCACACACTGACTCATCTCAGAACTACATGGTTCTGCGTTACAGGAAGTACGTCGGCCGCCAAGCAGAGCTCCTGGACACGAACAAAGATGGCCGCGTGGACAGGTCCGAGGGCCGCGAACTATCTTGGAGTGGATCACGAGGACGAAGAACTTCACGACTTCATGAACAAGGCTGATTTCAAACGTAAGTACCTCCGCCTGACGTTCACCATACATTGATCCGATGTACTTAGCGTGAAGCGCCTGGCCCTTGTGGTACCAGTATAATTTAACATTGATTTGGTAAGAATGAACAATGAAAATGTCATTACGCCATTCCTGCTCTCTTTAAACAGATTGACGTTCTAAAAGATATAAGACTCGTCTATATTTCGGTTTAGAATCGGAGTATCTGGGTTACGTTATGCTATGGCTTGTGTCCAAAACTCAGCTCACTATCTGAGTTGTCTCCCTTATGTACTGCAGGCGACGGCATCGTGGACTTGGACGAGTTCCTAGACGCCGCCATCATGGCACAAGCCCAGAAGGAACATCGTAAGATATTTCCATAGGTCTAATTCTGATCACAAGCTATAAAACCAGCACCTTGTCATAAATCACAACTTTCAACTACACTTTGCTAATACGGAACCAGGTCAGCAAGTAATATATACTTGCTGTCTTTCAGAATTTATGTTTCTTTGGTGTGTTTTTTTATGTTTCTACTATGGAATCTGTTCACCCACAGGGTTAGAGTTGGGTTAGGGGCGAACATATTCTATAGGGGAATCCTGGGTAGGGTTAGAATTAGATTAGGGGCAAACATATTCTATAGGGTCTCCTGGGTAGGGTTAGAATTAGGTTAGGGGCGAACATATTCTATAGGGTCTCCTGGGTAGGGTTAGAATTAGATTAGGGGCAAACATATTCTATATGGGTCTCCCTGGGTAGGGTTAAATTAGGTTAGGGCCGAACATATTCTATAGAATTAGATTAGGGTCTCCAGGTTAGGGTTTGAGATTAGATTAGGGGCAAACATATTCTATAGGGGCTCTGGCCTCCATCCCCTGGGTTAGGGTTGAAAGTTGTAGGCTAAGGCCGAATATATTGTACAAGGCTCCTGATTAACTATAAACCCTCTAAATCTTCAACTGAAAGGGTAACAGATGTTTCAATTATCATCTGTGGAAGGATATGCAATATTACTTCTTTTGTCTGTTTCAGTTGATTGAGGACCGGAACACATTTAACATCCATCTGTATCAACGCACACGCCAATATTCAATAAACTCTCTTTCCGTTTAATGTCAACTCTCGTTGTTGTGTTTTATACAGGTACAGTTTACATCGCTTCTGTCAAACCTGTAGTTGTGGGGCATATGTGTGTTCTCATCACGGTCTGGCGTCTTAGGTCCCTAACATTGCCTCAGGGCCGTCCTTTTGCTGGTGAAGTTACATTTACCGAAAAGACGACCAAGAAGTAAAGAGAGAAGGAAATTCACACAAAATACCGTCTGGAGATTAGAACAGGGACGAACACACAAACAACCAGTCTCAACCTATATCCGAATGGTGTTTGATTAACACCTGCTTTCTAATGGTGTATTCATGAGGAGCGAACACATATTTTAGCACACAGTGTAGCCAAACCTACAGACATTGGGTCAACACAGGGAAAGATATTCCTTTACGCCATAGTCGGTCCTGTTACAGCCATATTGCAGGCCTGGAAATAGTCGAATCTGGAGTGAACAATTAAACCGGTGATTGATATCACGAGCGCCGTCCAATGACATTTCGGGACACTCATTAAAAACATCGTAGCTTGGAATTGCCACACGATCCATTAGTTGCCGTGTATAAACATCGGTTACTGGGTACATATTCGAACCAAACGCGCTCACGCTGTGTACCTTTGGCATTGAAGTTGTAAGTTCGGGGTAAGGGTTACAGTTAAGGGCCTAACCTTAATACGGCCGCGCCCGAAGTGTACTTTGTGTTTTGAGCAGCGCTATGAGAGTTCTGTTTCAGTTGTCTGATTCCGCTTTAGTTTTTACTGCAACTAGAGAAATCTGGTCTTAAACGGGAGTAGCCGGTGGATGTGCACTGACATTTCCATCCTAGTACGGGCGTTAGGAGGCACATGTCGCTCACTGAGAACTTGTCTTTTGTACTATGTGTCGCTTGTGCTTGCCCGCGTGGAGGCTTGTATGTTGGTTTGTAACATATGTTATATTTGGGATGACACTTTCTCAGTAAAGTACAGATTCTAGTACTTTTGTTGGGGTTGGTAGCCCATCCGGGATTCGAACCCACACCCTCAGAGTCAGGCACCTAATCGCCAGCACACAAAGTCCGCCACCAGCTCAGCCACCGCGGCTTTTCTATATGTAAATAATCCTGTCTGGTTCTCGTGTAGAAGTAAAGTTTGCGAGGCTTTTCTCCAGAAATGTTAGCACAATCATGTACAAGTTTTCATTCCCACTTGCATGAGTTGATGCATGTGTTCCAACCCTTGGTGACAATAATTATAATAGTAACAATAATAATAGCAATAACATTTTCAGTTTGGTTTACTAAATTTAATTCATTGATTAGTTAATATATTTTAACATATGTTATATTTGGGATTACACTTTCTTAGTACAAAATTAGAGTACTTTTCTGAGGTTGAGCCCCATCCGGGATTTTAACATTTAAATGTATATTGCACTCGAATCCAGGACAAAATCCACCCGTCAACATCTTGCCACATTTCAACAACGCAAACAACAACTTTTAACAATAGCAATTTGAGAAGGATGGATTTTGTCCATTTTTGTTAATAAGAGGTGGATTTTGTCCAGGGTGGCAATTTTGGGGTGGATTTTGTCCGTGTGGATTTTTGTCCGGTCACCATTGCACTCACACCCTCACACCCTCAGAGTCAGGCACCTAATCGCCAGCACACAAAGTCAGCCGCTTAACCCGCTCAGCTACCGCGACTTCCACAAAATGGAAGTCGGACAACTGGTAGTCTAGACTGCGGGCTTTGTGTACCCTCTGATAGGTGTCAATTGGCACGGCTCCCACGACCGAAAGCTATGATTACACAATATGCCATTTAGAAAGTGGTCAAATGTAACATATGCTATATTTGGGATTACACTTTCTTAGTAAAGTACAAATTCTGGTACTTTTTAGTTGAGCCCCATCCGGGATTTTAAAATTTAAATGTATATTGCATATTTCTGCACACCTTTGAAGTGATTGTTGGTCCACAGAGACTACTAAACATGGACATTCATGGCTTTCTGTAAGACTACTTTATCATCTCGTCTCTGCACTTCTACATTACAGGCAAACGCTGACAAAGAAACGCGTCAAATTCACTTTGGAAGGTATTAGTATTAGCACAAACACATACATCTGTTTACACAAATAATCATACCTCTACATATTACCCAACTACCTGATACCTTAGGACGCAACCCTGCAGTGCAAAGACGCGTCTCACACAAAATGTTGGATATAATATATATTCATAATCAATTCTGATAAAATTTAGAAATATTTGCATCGAGGTCAGTCAACATGTCAATCACTCTTTCAACGACTTGGGAGAAAACGTCGATGAGATTTTACCCGGATAAATTATCCGGATTTTAGTGAGATCACGCGAGATTTCGCGAGAGACGTTTATTCGGACACTTCCGGTGGAAGAAGCATTGCTTTTCTTCAAGTGTTTTGTTTGTATAAGAATTGAAGGTACCAACACAATTTCAAGATGCCGCGTATTATGATCAAGGGTGGCGTTTGGAGGAACACAGAGGTAGGATATTACTGTGACTACTTTGAACCTTTGTAAACGAAATTGTGCATTTGTTGACTGCAGTGCAAGGCCTCGGGTGATTTAGTGACACACTCAGTCTCGTACGGAAAACGTTTCAGTAGACTTTTTCAGATAATGAATGGTGTACCAAGGACAAATTATTATGATTATTAAACAGATATCAGGTATGATGATAACTGATCGTTGCATTGTCCAGGAAGTCGCGTTCATTCTGCAATTATTAATTACTGAGCACCATTACAGAGTAAAATGTAGGAAAGAGTTCCTTCCGTTCCCCCAACCCTAAACCTAACTCTAAACCTAACCTAATGCTAAAGCTGTGTTCACCGTCTTCAAATGATCATTACATGTTAGAGGCATAGAATATTAACATTTGGAAATCGTAACAAACATTGATGAGTACAGTGTTTGGGTTATTAAGTTGTTAATCAGTGCTGAATCAGGGGCGGTGGGTAGTCCTGAAACGTGGTTAAAGCGTTGGCTCGTCACGCCGAAGACACAGGTTCGAATCCCAGAGTGAACGTACACATGGGTACAACGTGCAAGCCCATTTCTGGTGTCCCCGCCGTGATGTTGCTGGAATATTGCTGGAATGTTGCTAAAGCGCACTGAAAGCCAGACTCAGTCAGTCAGTGCTGAATCAATTTATAATACTCACAACACTGTGGTAACGTCAGAGCATTTGAGATTTCTGGTTGTCAATCCAGGACATGCTGGCTGTTTACTTATACAAATCAGGAACCAGGAACTCCACATTTTGCATAAACTATTTCATTTTTTATGATTGTTCCATCTACTGTAAATTTGAAGTTTGCAACTGCATTCCTTGATAATTCTTTTTGGTGGAACATAAAAACAAACTCAGTTGGGATGAAAATAACACATAAGTCTCCAAAAAGACTTCCACTAAGTTCCAGAAATCACTTGATGCACAATGTATTTTATGAATAAATTTCCATCGTTTGATTCAGTGTTGTCCAAAATATTACGTAGGATCTATTCCTTATCAATGTTAAAATTTTGAAATATGGTTTAAATGAATATACTCAGAGTCAGACTCTCCATTATCACGGCATTTGAAAACATCGGAAAGCAGAAGTTTGCATGTGCAAATTATGTGAACAAATTCATCGCTCTAGTAAAAGTGATTTATTTCAGTGGAATGTCACATCTAATGGTAGGTATAGTAAAGTATTCATCTTTGCAGTAACATAATTTGTATACTAGTTTGACCCTGTCACCATTGCATCTTGCACAAATGAAATCTTACTTCATCAAGAGTAATCCTGCGACAACTATGAGGCCACCTGTATATTTACCAAAACTATAAAACTATAACACCCTATTTTTCCCAACAGGATGAAATTCTCAAGGCAGCTGTCATGAAATATGGCAAAAACCAGTGGGCTAGAATTGCATCTCTCCTGCACAGGAAGTCTGCAAAACAGTGCAAGGCTCGATGGTTTGTGTTTTCTGAACATGCTATAACTATGTAACATATTTCAATTGCTGTTGTCATATTGATAATGTCCCTGTTGCAGTTCCTGATGTAAAAACGCATTTGATAGCTATAACTGAGTGTTGAATCATCTGACATGTCTAAAATTTAAAGTTTAGTTAACCAGTGAGTACATTCAGAGGTGTATCCTGGGACAGAATCGAACCGTATCCTCCTAGACAATAATAATCTATATCTGCATTTGTCATAACCTATGTTCTGGTACTTTAGGTACGAGTGGCTGGACCCCAGCATCAAGAAGACAGAATGGAGTCGGGAGGAGGAGGAGAAGCTCCTCCATCTGGCCAAGCTGATGCCCACTCAGTGGAGAACCATCGCACCCATCATCGGCAGAACTGCTGCTCAGTGTCTCGAACACTATGAGTTTCTCTTGTGAGTACTAATGGCAAAAGTTTACACAGCCATTTGTCAAAGTGAGAATTAATTGTTTCTCCTAAAATTTAGAATCTCTGTTCCCTCTTTCAAAATGATTAAATTTTACTCTTGATCATTATCATCGGTTTGTGTGTGCTACATTCTTCCATGAAGTTCCTCCCCAATGTATTAAATATGTGCTGACTTTGTTATTGCTACCAGTGAAGTCTATTGATGTGTTTCCACTCAGGGACAAAGCACAGAACAGAGATGATTCTGAGGACGATCCGAGAAAACTAAAACCAGGAGAAATTGATCCCAACCCTGAAACGAAACCGGCGCGACCTGATCCAGTGGACATGGATGAAGATGGTGAGTTTTGAAGTGGGTCAGAACACTCCTCTCACCACTTCACCCCAAATCCCTTCCTGCTGAAAGCTTAGATATGATCCCAGGGTTGACTTTTGTGAGTCTTATTTGGAATGTCAGTTTATGCCAAAGTCTCTTCAGAAGAACCATTTTTTTACAAGCAAAGGAATGTCAACTTTGGACGCTAAGGTTGATGTAAGAAAATGAGACTCATTTAAAGGGATTGGTACACTCTGGTGTCAAGGAAAAAACATCTGTTGTTGGGAAGTCTCACTGAGACAGCAGATCTGATGGTTTAATTGCCTGTTTCAGAACTGGAGATGTTGTCAGAGGCCCGAGCCAGGCTGGCCAACACTCAGGGAAAGAAGGCCAAGCGGAAAGCCAGGGAGAAGCAGCTGGAGGAAGCCAGGTACGTGTGACACACATGACAGAACTATACCATCTTGTCTATTTCCTTCTCTTCATTACAGGGCGGTGGGGTAGCCTAGTGGTTAAGGCGTTCGCTCGTCACGCCGCAAGGCCCGGGTTCGATTCCCCACATGGGCACAATGTGTGAAGCCCATTTCTGGTGTCCCACGCCGTGATATTGCTGGAATATTGCTAAAAGCGGCGTAAAAACTAAACTCACTCACTCACTCTTCATTACAGGGGAGACAACTCCTCTATCTGAGCATCATTAAGACACATAGACATCTCACCCTCATGGTATACAACTGTCATAAATGGTGGTTATAGTGTTGAAAGTTCTGAATGAAAGTAAGAGGCTTTTGTTGTCACCCAAAGTTAATGTTTAATGGAGTAGATCAAAGTATTACCTGTATATTTAGCAAAAATGTCCCCAGACTCAACATGATCAGCACCATATCTTTGAATGACATAGGTTCGGATTTGTTCATGTTTGTTCAGGAAAGCCATTACAATTGGTTGTTCTGTTTTAGGAGATTAGCAGCACTACAGAAGAGGAGGGAGCTCAGGGCAGCTGGCATCGAGTGAGTCACGATAGTCATACTGTGTCCGTGAAGTCTAAGCTAATTATTGAGAAGCACATTGTTTGTGAAAGTAGAACAAAGTTACCATGTGTACCTCATTTTATTATTATTGGGGACTATGGTAACACAACTATATCAGTTTGAAAACTGTTAATATCGTAACGTTGTAGATAGTCTGATTGAAAAGTTCAACATTTGACTGTGTATGAGTGTTAGAAGATGTCGTGCTGCCCCAGGTGAGAATCAGCAACATCTGTGTGTATGTTTCAGTGCAAAGCAGAAGAAGAGGAAGAAGAGAGGCGTGGACTACAATGCTGAGATTCCATTTGAGAAGAAACCAGCACCTGGTAACACCCTCTTGTCACCATAGGCAGTTCTTACCCCTAAACATAAATGGTGGTATTACTGTAGGGGCCATCACAAAAGCCTAAATCTTATATGTCATTACCTGTATTTCCAGAATGCTGTAGGTGAGGTAAACCTTGTTGTCCCAACCAAGCAGGTAGTATTTCATGTCACTTAACATAGCTTTGTCCAACTAAACATCAGCTGTATTGTTCAGGTTTCTACAACACGTCCGGAGGAGACACTACAATCCCCTGGACCCCAACTACAAGAAGCTGCGGCAGCAGAACCTGGATGGGGAACTCCAGCACCAAGGAGGAGGTGGGGACTCTTCACTTGTTTTCAATAATTCAAACAGCAAGATTTGACTTCCATTTCCTGAGAAAATAGTTAAAAACCTTATTAGGGACTGTTCAGAATTTATGGCTAGTGGGGGTGATGATGATTTTCATGGAGAAAGCGTGTACAATGTGAATCACACACTGCATGACCACACCACACCCCACACACCCCACCCCTTAAAATCATCATCACACCATCACACACACTCTTGGTGAGCCAGGATTTCTATGTACAAGTATACTTGACTTCATGACAAAGTATGGACTTGCTCCCCTTTTACAGAAATACCAACATAGTTTCCCTAGTTAATGATTTGATCTACCGAAATTATTTTTTAATATTTAAAATGTTTTAAAATCTTTCAACCTTGCAAAGGTATTAAATTTCACAAACCATAACAAATAATGAAGTATGACCAAACGTTTTTAATGTACTGTGGATACAGACCTTCAATGAGTTTTGCTAACTGTGGGTCAGTGTCTGTAGTATTGGATTCCTAACTGAGCCGAGTGTTGGTCAGGGAAGGCTTTAGTATGTGCACTTACATTATCTGTTCCTTCACTTTAGAGATAGAAAGAAGGACAAACAGAGACAGAAGAAGAGGAAGGAGAATGACCTTCCTGGAGCCATCGCTGCCCAGACAAAGTAAGTGGGCAGGGTTTCAGGTTATCAGGTGTCATTCATATTATAGGTATCAGGGTGACAGTAATTAGTAGATGTTCAGCTGTTATAGGGCAGCAGCTGTGTCACTTAGGAGAGTTTCACTTTTTGATACAGGACATCGCTATTCGAATCAGTACGATGTAGATGTAGTAACTGATGTCACAGTGGTCTGCAGGGCATTGTATTGGAGTTGCATTGAAGCTACAATTGCGTAGATTGATGCTCATGATATTGATCACTGCATTGTCTGGTCCAGACTCGAATATTTACAGACCACTGCAATACAGCTGAATTCTTTTCAGAAGAAGTCCTCCTTGGGGTACATGAAAGCATTAAAATGTCCATTTTAAAATACCTCGCGACAGTTGTAACAATATTTCAATAAAATATTTTACCAAACAAAAAGACTTCGTTATGTTTAGTGAGACCACCCTATAGGGCCACTCACAGGGCCCCTACAGCCAAAGAGCAGGTAACTTTGACTGCTTACCTCATACCTCACACTTTTCATGCTGTCGTTGACTATATTTTTCTGTATTATTGTGTGCATATTACATTATGTCAAACAGTCCTTGCTATTAGTCATAGCCTTTCTGTTCTGTTTTGCAGCCCAAAGGGGTGTGTTACCTGTGGCGCTACATTATTGTCTCAGGATCGACACCTGATATGTTTTGCAGTTGTTTGGCGGAGAAGCCCATGATGAGCAGGGTTGTGCCATGTGTCAGGCATTTTCCCTCATTCTATCAAGTCAGGGACGATGCGGACATGATGTTTACGTCTTTACTTCAGGCGAGTGGTGGGGCGGGGCATTTGGGGACAGGAGCCTCCCTAAGGATAAGGATAAAAGCCTAAGAAAAGAAGGCTTTTCGTCTGATTCGCGGGCCACCCCTCCACTACGGTGACTACCACCAGTCCGAGCCTCGGCTCTGGGTGATAGTTGGTGCGGTTTTACAGGCTCTGTCCCTGTAGTCTCCAGCTACCTCCTCACATTTGGTCCCACCGCTTGCACCCGGCTTTGCGGTGTCAGAATCGAGGAGCCCATATGCTACCGTTGGTGAATGCCCGTGTCGGGCTCTTCCTCGTCTTGCCGTAGCGTGACTCAGTTTGAGTCTTGAGTCGGGCGTGCCGGAACAACTTCGTCTCTGCTCGAACCTCTGTCACTCTCCCTAGACCCCTGGGATGAACCCTCGGAGCTTTCCCTAGATACAGAGACTTAGCTCCAGGAGGATCGGTTCGAGGAGGCTATGGAGGAGGATGAGGGTGGGGAGGTTGGGTACACCTTCTGTTTAAATTCGGTGCATCCCTGAAACAGAGTGCGGCTGAAGCGTATTGCCTCTGTTCTGCCTCAGGTGGTTGTCAGTGCTGGCGCACTCAACCCTCAAGAGTTTCGCCTCCCAGGGAGACTTTGCTCCTACTAAGGTGGCGGACACTTCGACTTCGCATTTGCCTTCAGTTTTAACTGAGGTTATAAACCCACTCCTCTGTGGTGCCAGATCCAGAGTCGACTTGCCCGAGCTGGACCGTCGGTTTACCTCATGGGTGAGGCTGGCGTATATAATACCCCAGTGAGTAGCGATTGTGTCTATCGTCAGTTGCACTGGGGGTTGATCTGGTAACTCACTGGCTTCCGCCCGTTCACAGCCAACGCCACGGCACTTAAGTCGCCTATCGCTCCTTTGAGGAGCAGTACGGAACAGCGGTCCAGTGCCTCAAAGTTACTATACATTCGCCTACATCTCCGTGTTGCAGAGGAACTACTGGATGTGGGTGGGAATGAAGGAGAACATTTGTCTCCCTCCACCTTGGCAAAACAATTGACAGAGGTCAGTTACATCTGGCGTGCGACTCTATCAGGGTCGTCGGCCTGCCAAATGATCGTCGGCGGTTATGGGCCTCCGTCAAGCCTGTGGCTTTCTATGGCGAGGTACTCTCCTGCCACACAACAGGCTCTACTGGCACTGCCGTTCGCAGATGGTTTATGCGCTGTTCCCGGGCAGCTACAGTAGTCCGGAGGCAGCGGAGGCTGTATCAACCTTCAAGGACTCTAAGCCCTTGTTGGAACAGCTTCACATGTCTGTAGCGATGCCAGTACCTCTGCATACCCTTCTGCCTCCGGCAAAGGAATCTGTTAAATGGGCTCAGCCATTACAGTCGCGGAGGGGTAAGGGCAGAGGCAAGGACAAGGCCACAGCGCCCCACCAGCATTTTCAGAGGAAGGGTAAGTGAGCCCCGGCTTCCTAGCAATAATTCCTCCGGAGCCCTTGTTGGTACCAGATCAAGCAGTCGGAGTATCTATTGCCTCATGCCACATATCCCTGTGGGTGGTCGACTTTCTCTCTTCCTGTCGGAATGGGAAAAGGTCACTTCAAATCCCTGGGTCCTGTCCACGCTCAGGGAGGGCCACATGCCACAGTGGAAGCGAGACCCACCCCCCTTCTCCGGGATCCGTTGCACTCCAGTGCCGGCTGCCCTAGAGAGGCAGAGGTGCTCCTGTCGAGGTCCAGTCATTACTGGACAAGGCAGCCATAGAGGTGGTTCCTGTGGGACAGGAAATGGCGGAGTTGATACCGACCTATTTCCTTGTCACAAAAGGGCCGGAGGGTTCAGACCTATTTTAAACCTCAAAGGTCTGAGCGACATGATAAAGTACCATCCTTCAAGATGGAGACACTGCGTTCAGTGATCTCATCTGTGGAGAAGGGAGATTAGCTCCGATCAATCGACCTCAAAGAGCCTTATACTTCCATGTCCCAATGCACCCCAAGTTCAGGAAATACCTAAGGTTTTACTTGACGGGAGAGTGCTATCACTTTCATGTGCTCCCCTTCGGCATCTCCATACGGGTGTTCACCAAACTCATGCTAATTCCAGCAGGTATGGAGTCTCAGGGCAGGTGCTGATTTACTGTCACCCGATTGGTTCTTCCTGCGCTGCGATTGGCTTTCTGTGATGAGTATACTCACCAAGTCACTTTTATCAATCTCAAGAAATCAGAACTGGTTCCCACCCAGGATCTGGTTTTTCTTGGGGCGAATCGAGAGACAGTCGACGGTAGTCTCCTGTCTCCGGGCGTCACCAAAGTCCAGAGAGTTGTGTTACAATTTCGCGAGTCCCCAGGGCCTCAGCTTCGGACATGGCTCCAGTTGCTAGGCAACATGGCAGCAACGGTGGACATTGTTTGGCCGAGCCTAGGTTGAGATCGCCCACATACAGCAAGCTCTAGCTTCGAATGTGGGTCCACACCAGGGGTTACGAGTTGATTCTCCACATTCGGGGTGGCTAATTCCTCATTTGATTGATGGTGGACAATGGCAGGAATTTATCCAGGGGTAAGCCCTTGATCTCCTTCCGATTCAGACAGGCGCCTCCCCAGACAGACCACAGGGTGGGGTGTGTGCTGGAGTGACCCTGTCAGTCTCAGGCCTGTGGTCACAGAAGCGGCGCAACTGCACATCAATGTGCTAGAGGTGAGGAGCAGTCAGGTTGGTTAGTGTTCAAAGCGGCTTCGGAGCAGGTTAGGAGTGCGTGTGGTTACGTCTAGAGATGGACAACAAGGCAGCGATGACCCATATCCAGAAGCAGGGCTCAATGCGGTTTCCCTGTCTCTCCTGCAGTTTCTGCTCTGTAGTGCGACCAGTTCGACATACGGGTGAT